GTTTTACCTGATGACTTCCGCGGATGCCAGTGACCTGGACGGGCCGACGATGGAGGTGGTGGCGCCATCCTCCGGTGCACTTGCTGTGGCAGGAGCTGTTTACACTGTAGAGGTGAGTCGGTCGTCTTTAAGAAGAAGGAAAACCTTGTAATATCTTGGCATTCGACGAGCAATGTACCGACAGCTTCGACACACACTTTCGTTGTGGGCGACCAATGATGTGGCGACGACCACCATTACTAGCAGCAGCAACAAAAATATCGAAAAAGTTCTTCATTTCAGCCAAATTAACGCCCACCCTAACGACTAACCGATTCAACAATGATTTAAGTGAGGATCTACCTCCCCACCATCCGTTTCCCCTAAGCTCGGCTTGCCTGCTAGCCACTGCACAATTCCCCTCCTCGATGCCCCCAAACAAACTTGCGTCGTCGAGCAGTTTGACTACGACAACGGTTTCGGCGCGCAGCAGGGGCGATTCAAGATTGACCTCTACCATGCCGAAGGGACCGGAGACTGCGGTGACTGGGTCAGCTCCGTCTGCGACAAGCCCGATGTCGGCTGCCACGATACCGGTGAGTTATACTACTTATACTACAACGCTGTTGTTGATGTTGTTGTTGTTGTTGTTGTTGTTGTTGTTGTTGTTGTTGTTGTTGTTGTTGTTGTTGTTGTTGTTGTTGTTGTTGTTGTCGTTGTTGTGTGGTGGTGGTGGACGATAAGATGAGACCAGCACCAACTTTTGCGTTAATTTATTTTGCTCTTCTCCCGCGTCATCCTCCGCCCTCCTTCTTTGTTCATCTTCCCAATTAAAATATGACAGAGGGCGACTATGACATCGTCATTCCACGAGACTCCGAGGGAGGAATGTACAAGATCCGCGTCGGCCTGTTCGGCGATGACTCCGTCTTTGCCTGCTCTGCGTCCTTCGAGGTCGTGCCTGAGACCCAGGGCCTCTAGATGGACTGAAGACCAGGAACGTAGAGCCTAGGGCAGTGTTGCTGCTACGGTGGTCGCATGGTGCAGCACGTAGATGGTGCATGCACTGGCCTGAGTCTTGTCTTTTTGTCTTTCCGTCTTTTCGGTCAACGTTCTCGTCGTTTGTCGCATGTTTCTTTGTTCAATTTTGCAGTTTTGTGTACCAGGCGTGTGCGCGTGTGCGTGGCATATATGTGTGTGTTCTTCAGCTAGCACCGACCTGTGTGTCTGTGATGTCTACTGGGTAGCAACGACCGGCCGACCAAGGACGTAAGTGCTGTCGGGTTAAATCAAGGTTCCCGGTAGGGGGCCATAGACCGAAGAATGGGCGTGTGTGCAATTTGTGTGAGTTGTTTCTCCTGGAGGACAGGAGGAATGAGTGGTGGGTTCCTTGCAAGTTTGCTTTCAAATGTATTCGCGCTGGGTTTCCGAAATGTATTCATTTGTATTATAGATCGGAGATAGATCGGACATGTTACAGTTCATTCGTTTTACGCGAATTTGATGTGCGTGGAACAGCCTAGTCGTGGGTTTACGGTACGCCCCATGACGGTCGACTTGTCTTTTCTCCTAGCCCATGCGCCTTGCGGCCTGCGATGGTTTCGAATGACGGGAAGTTATCTGATTGTTGTCGGATGTGTGTGCTCTTGAGTGTGTGTGTTTTCGTCCAATTTAATATGGCGACAGTCCCCCCATTTTTTGTGGTGAGACCTGTACTACGCTTTTCAGCCGTAGAGTACTACACTTTTCAGTGTATTTTTTCGCACAACTACAACCATCCAGGGTCACACAGGAGGGGGTAAACACCAGGGCTTTTTTTCTTGTTTTATTTCTTTTCATGCCCCACCTTCCTCCTGCGGTGCTTGCTGAATTTTTATTTTTATCTCGAGAAGGGTCCAGCCGCCCCTTTCCCTCGTCAACGGTGCTAACGTCGAAGTTTGGCACTCACGTGTCTGGTGAAACCACGTGGCCTTGTTTCATTTGTCGCCGATAAGGCTCTTTTCTTGCGTTGTGTTGCTGTGCTTGCTGCCGCGGAGAAACAACTTGCGGCACAAAGCTTGTTGTATTTTTTGCGTATGTTACAACGTTTGTTGGATGTAGTATCAACGCGAGCAGAAATGTCCTTGGACTGCTGCTGTGTTTTGTGTTTCCCCAGGTTGTTGTGTCAGTCCAACCAAGCGGAGGGGGGCGTGGGGTACAACTTCTTTTGTGTACCGTGAGAAAGCAGTGAGAGAAGAGCTTGTGGAAGAATAGCCGCTTGGTTGTAGAATAATATCCGATTCGATGCCAAACATGGTAATGAAAACTAATTCGTACTCGTCCTAGAATGTCTTTCCAGTTCGCCATGGAAGAGAGAGAGAGAGAGGTGGTTTGATTGCCTGTATGGAATGGGCCTTTTCGAAGCCACGGTGTCGATGCCGGAGGACGCGCATCCAACTCTCGCCCGGTACCGTGTCGATTTTTGCTACACCACCTACCGTGCGTGCGAGCGTGGAAGCAACAATTCTGAAGCTTTAGCTTCAGCTTCTCAGACCAATAGTCTTATCCATCCGCGGAAGTTTCATTCGACTCCCCCACCCCTTGCCCGACCCGGTCCCATATGCTGATCTATCTCAAATGTCGAGTGGGTATGTTTCGGTGGGGAATCGCAAATAAATCTGTGTGTGATTGTTGCGGAGATACTAAAGATCTGGTGGGCGAGGGGGCTGCTGGGTGTCTCGGTAATCCAGGTTCGGCCTCACACGATCATTTGCGGGAAACATTACCGAACATTATTCTAACTCTTCCATCTCGTGGTTAGTTTGTGGTCGTGAATAGCTTATCTCGCGTATCTATGGTTGGTTGTGGCACTTGTTTTTTTATGGTGTTTTTTCCATGAGCCAACATCGACACACTCTCTTGTTGTTTCCATACCCACAGTCAACCCGTTCTTCTGTGAGTGTTTTTCGTCGCGTCCATTTTTAGGAATAATAGTCCGTTGGTAGCCAAACTAATGTTGTCTTTTCGTAGTCGTCACCAGCAGGGACTTCTACAGGCTTACTTGCATACCTGAGGTTCACTTACTACTACTACAACAACAGGGTTTTTCAGGTCTGCGAACACACACAACAACAGAGACTCGTCTCATGCAAGGGGTGCATGCATGATTTATTGAACAAATGCCTCCCCACCCTTGCACCACCCTCCCACCCTCCTCCCTGTAAAATGGTGAAGGGTGTGTTTGGTACGGAACTGGAACGGGTTCTCTGCGTGGATAGCGACGCGTTCTTATGGTCACAACAACGAACGGCCAAACGACTACATGCAGCAGCAGGCAACCCCACCCATTTTTCAGCGTCTGTCTGAGGACTTACTTTCTTCATGCCATCATGCGTACACGTCGTCTAAAGAAAGACTAGGGTCCGTGGAGATGTTCGGCGGGTATTTTGTGTAAGGCCTGCAGCGGTACACAAAACTAGTCTAGTTACCCACAGGCAAGTTGACGCAGAGTCAAAATTAGTCCTTCCTTGTTGTTCCGCTTGTTAAAGCCCAAAAACACCACCGGGGGATCATTTCTTTTACTCAATCCTGACAGCCGTCGGAAACGATTGACTCTCTGGAGGGACATGTTCTAAGAAGTCGGCGGGCAGTACGCTGGGACCTTGGCATCACTGCGGGTCGGCTGTGAGATGCTCTCTCGGAGAGGATATCATGATAGTATTTTTGCTGCAGCAACAGTTTGTTACTGTACGGTCATCAGATCGAAGGAGGGCGAGAGAAGCCCTATAGAAGCCGAAATCAAACCATTAGACTAGTCAGCGCTACTCTAGTCTAATGGTTTGATTTCGGCTTCCATAAACTGGTCAGCGCTGACTGGTCTATCTAGTGGTTTGATTTCGGCTTCTTCGATAGCCCCCCCGTAGTAACCCGGCATCACCTACCTGCTGCCGCCGAGTTGTTTAGCTGCCGACCGACTCCGAAAAAAAAGTGCCACATTGGCGCGAGCTCTGAGGTAACCAGCGTCCACAGACCACGCTCCCTCTACCCGCTAACAACTTGAATGTAGCGTGGTAGAGGGGAGCGTAGTTCTTGTTGGTAAGACTAGTCTACAGCTGTTCGTGTTTCACGAGAAATGATGATGCGGCGGCTGGACGGCTGGACGGCTGGTGTTCCCGTCGCCGTCCGCAGCAACTGTTCAGCGACGACATGCAAAGTACAAGTACATGTGCCGGTTTTTTCCAGACTCATGTGTTTCTGCCCTTGGAATATGCCACGGCTACCGCAACCTGGCATGAAACCATCAAAACTAAACTTCGCTCACAAGAAATATATTGTCACATGATAAAAGAAGGAAAGATGTTTGTAAACTGATGGAGATTGCATGTCCTACAACTGATAGGGTGCGACACACAAAACGCCCGACTACCCAACAGTACCCAACACCTTTCGTCTGCACCTTCCCAACATAACATACATGAGACACACAAGACAGCTACCAAACTGATTTGTTGAGCCTGTTACCCACAGGGGAGATGTCCCTATATGCTGTCTGGGAAATCGTAGACACACAGGTGGTTTTCTCTGACGCTATGATTCCATTGTTAATCTGTCTCTGACTCTTTTCTATGATTGAGATGGACTCAATGTGTCATATTAAGAAAAAAAAAAAGAAGCATCCTACCCGTGTATTCTAGTCTTCTTGCGCTATCAGTGGTGACAGCTTGTTTCTTACTAAGAAGGTGCATGTGAATGCGTCTACAGTAGCATGCTGTGCTGCGATTAAGAGGATATTTTTTTGTCGCGTCAGTGTTATTCTCGTAGGGTGGGGACACAGACTACAGGGTTGCAGGATATGCGTTCTCTCGTTCTTCCCTTGCGGGCAAGGATCGTAACCTCGCGTTCTCGTCGAACCGATACAACCGCCCCGATTTTATTTGTCTGCCATTTTTCGCCGTTTCACAAAATGTTTTTTTTTTTCCCGCATCCACGTCCGCCTTCCTCTCTCACGCACCAAACCGTACACACACTGGACACACACGCACCTTTTCCTGTACTTCGCTTCCTTTTGCCCTCCGACACAAATCTACCCAGCAGACACAATGACTTCCCGCGATGACCTCGTGTACATGGCCAAGCTCGCCGAGCAGGCAGAACGGTGAGCAGATCCAGTCTCTGGCTTTCATCTTGTTTCGTGCTAGACGACCCAACTAACCCCCCTTAAACCCCGCTGGAATGGCCGAAATTCCGCCCTCTTCTTCTTGAACTGAACTGGATGGCGCAAAATCAACAAGCGCCGCAACCGGCGCCCCACCCCGCAACCAGCGGCGGCGAAAAGTTTGTCCAGCAGACAAGTGTGCAATGGGTACACGGCAGCGGTTGAAAGGACGCATGAACGCGCGACCTGGTTCGATCGTGCGTGGGCTGTTGTCTCTTTGTCCGGCCAACAACAACAGAAGAGGCGAACAAAACGACGCCACGCGCGCGCATAAATTCGTTGGTGGTGGGAGGACAGAACAGGGGGCAAGGCGATGGCGCGAACAGTGCTGCGACACGCGCTGTTGCTCAGTCCTTCGCGTCGATTGCTCTCAAATGTGCTGACGCGCGCCTTCTCCTCTCGGCGCGTTTGCTCCTGTCGGCAATCTGTTGTTTGTTGTGTGCAGTTTCGATGAGATGGTGGACCACATGAAGGCCGTCGCCCAGCAACCAAAGGAGCTGTCCGTGGAAGAGCGCAACCTTCTCTCCGTTGCCTACAAGAACGTCATCGGCTCCCGCCGTGCATCGTGGAGGGTGATCAGCTCCATCGAGGGCAAGGACACCGTGGTAAGAGCTCGTCCGTAGGGGGGCTACGGTAGCAAAGGAGAAGGGCGCGCAGTTTCGTCCGAATTGTGAAGAGAAAGGAAGAACAATATAGTAGAGTTTTTCTTGACGCTCTTTTTTATTTCAACCAGGTGCAAGCCTGTCGCAGCACAGGCCGCGCCGCTCATTCCCTGCGCTCTTTATGAGGCGGACGTGCATTTGGCAGGACAAGCTACCGATGCGTGAACTCAATCCTCGACTGACTTGTCCCCGCGCATCCCTTTTTCCCTTCATCTGTTTGGCTGCGCTCGGGCTTTGGGGGTCGGGTGTTCCGCTGTGTGCGTTTGCCCGTTTGCCCCGCCCGCAGAGCGACCAGTTGCCCCTCATCCGCGACTATAAGTCCAAGATCGAGACGGAGTTGACGGACATCTGCGACGACATCCTCAAGATCATCGAGGCCGAGCTGATCCCCAACTCCACCTCCGAGGAGGGCAAGGTGTTCTACTACAAGATGAAGGGCGACTACCACCGGTGAGTGCCAAAAATGCGAAGACTTGATAATTCAACTAAAAAGAAACAAAGGGAACACAAAACAGATTCGTCGCAAGTTGTGTGCCCTGCCTGCGCATGCAGGGACCGTGGGCAGGCAGCGCAATGTAGCGCAGGCAGCCGACAGACATGGATGGTACCATGTAGCGTGTTGTGTGCATGTCGAATGAACGACCACACAATTCCTGGTGTCGAAGCACAAGAATGATGCATCATGAACAGTGCATGGTGCGCACCTAACGGATATGTAGCTCGCTTACCTGTTCGAAAATGCAGTCGGAATCTTGTTGGGCCAGGTAATTTAATTTGTGCCTCTCGTCGCGTACGGTACATATGTTGCCTCCGAGTGTACAAGCATTCACGAGGCCGCATTTGCAGTCTGGGCGCAGTCGAACAAATGGGAGGTTTTATCACGTCAAAACTATGTGTCGATAAAATTGGTCGTATCGTACGCTTCCATGCATATACCACACGTGTATATCCGAAGCACATGCATGTGATGTGTGCGTGCATACGTAGCAACGACCCGATCCCCTCGGCGGCACTTTACGTGACTTCCTTCCGCCTCTTATAACATACGGTTGACTTGAACTTAACAAAGTATATCAGGGAATGTGGTGCCTGCCTGCCAACTACGAACATTGTTGCCGCCCAAAACGGGTTGGTCTTCAATCTGCATTCTCACATGTACCGCTGTCTCAAAATGGAGTTAACAGCAAGTCCCTTCAACATTGTTGTTTCATTCCCAAATATGAAATTCTTCTTTTGCCGTAGGCGACCGGGTGAACGAAACGGGGCAAAATCATGTTGCGACCGTTGTTGTTGTAGCGGGACTTGAGTTGAGGTAAGGTGTATATGTGTAGAACGGATATGATGGAAAGTACAGTTCCGATTGCAGGGCGGGGGGTTCCCACTTGCGCTGAAACCCAACTCTTTTCCCCCGGTGGATGCCCGACGGAGGTGCTGTTTCCACTCGCTTGCTCACCTTGTCCGGTTTCCTGCCCGTTCCAACGCCACAGGTATCTGGCCGAGTTCCAGTCCGCGGAAGACCGCAAGGCGAGCGCGTCGGACGCCCTCGACGCGTACAAGTCTGCCTCGGACTTGGCAAACCAGGATCTGCCCCCCACGCACCCCATCCGTCTGGGACTAGCCCTCAACTTCTCCGTCTTCTACTACGAGATCCTGAACTCCCCGGAGCGCGCGTGCAACTTGGCCAAGGCTGTGAGTACTCTCGATGGTGTTTGATGCACTTGCTGTTCTAGTCCCACGCCGCTCTTGAAAAGAGTGAGGGTGAGCATGCCTGTTGGAGTGAGGATGCACAGGTGTGTGTAGGCGCGAATCCGATGTGGTTCGGGGTCGATTTGTGCTCACCCAACCGTTCCTCTTATCGTCGTTCCATCTCTCAGGCGTTCGACGATGCGATTGCGGAGCTCGACACTCTCTCGGAGGAGTCGTACAAAGACTCGACCCTCATCATGCAGCTTCTGCGGGACAACCTTACCCTCTGGACATCAGACCAGGGAGAGGCAGAAGAGGCACCGGGGAACGCGGATGGCACCGTTGTTGAGGACCTCTAATCACACTCCTCTTTTTCATATCCGATCTTGTACGATGATGGCTTGTCGGACCCGTTGTTGATGTTCCCAGTCGTGGCTTGTCGTGTGCAGCCAAGTGGGTTTGTTGTGCGCCCGCCGGTGTAGTAGCGAGGGGGTTGTATTGTAGTAGGCCGGGACTTTTGGTACAGGAAAGCTGCCGTTTTTCAGCTCTCCCCACAACGCGACCGTTAGGTTCGTCGCGGTTTGTCTTGCTCGAACGAGTCGAGGACTCGTTTTGAGAAGGACAGAACGATGTGTGGTTCCTTGTATCTTGTCGTACAATCGTCTAGTCTCTTTTACTATAGTTTTGTTTTGGGGAGAGCACTTTTTTTTTCCGGTGGGGGGGAAGGTGTTGAACGGGGCTTTGTAAAGAGGACCAACTGCCGTAACGGGAGGGGAGTGATTTGACAGGCGTCAATTTTTGCCTCAGCTATCGGACAGGATATTGAAGAAGTACCTGTCGGAAATCCTTGAGGGTGAATGTAGAGATTGGAAGAACAGGAGATACTCGAAGTGCCACTTGAGGGTGATGGCATCGGGGTAATTGCCAGAGACGGAGCAAGAAGAGCCACGACTATCGGGAAAAAAGTTTCTTCCCACGATCTACATGCCGTGATTTATTTTTAGTCACGTTAGCGGACACCCTATAACTTGGTTCATGAGGTGCCGCCTGTTATTGACCTCTTCGTCACGGCAGCGGGGGTGGGAGGGGGGATCGCGTTAATCGGGAGCAGCGTCTTGGTGTACAGGAAGGAAACGAAAAGAAAACTAACATCAAATCAAAGGTTTTGTCATCTTCAAAATCCGTTACGCGATTCGAACGGCTTCATCTAAGCTAGTCGCGTTGGGTCTGCCTGCAAACTGCTTGATATTTGGCTATTCTGTTCCAACATGCTCGAAAAAGAGGGAATTCTTCGCCAAGACAGATGAATGGAAGCGATCATTTCGATTGATATATCGTTGAGTGGGTAACGTGTCCAAAGCGCTCCCTTCGCGCCGTTTCACAACGACGTGTATTCACGTCAAACTGCCTCATCTATATATATCGCCCCGGTGGTCTAGTGGGTAACCTCGCAGCCTGCTAAGGGCCAGGTCATGGGTTCGAGTCCCGGCAGAGGACGAAAGCGACGCGCTGCAAAGCTCGTTTGGTAGTAAACCATTATCAATCGACTTCGTAAGTCGCGAAGGAAGCGATTGCTATACCCTTCCCGCGATGAAATACCTCAGGCAGGAACCGCAGGAGGGGGTCCAGCCCCCCCCTCCTGTGACCCCGGTTGGGTCGTTTAGCTAGTAGAAGTGGAGGATAGGGACCACGGAGGGGCAGACGACAGAGTCTAATGATGGGAGAAAAAATAGTAGATATATAATCATGCCATACAAAATGGTGTGGTTGAAAGACATGTCCTCACGGCCGACCCGATCACAATGACAGCAGTGTAGTGTGTGAGACCCCGTGGTACTGGTGAACACTTGAAACGTTCCCCAACTCGAAATGAGAAATGCAAGGTGGGAGAAGGCATCATAGACGGGGATGAGGCCGGGAATCGAACAAACAAGCCAGGAAGGGCGGAGTCAATCGAGACCGTGTGTAGCGTCGTAGAGGGTGTCGACCTTGGCCGGCAAGAATCGGCCAATCAAATGTGGGCATTTTTGAGTGGTTTTTGGGTGCTGTTTAGTACACCCCCCCCAGCTCCCTCCGTGCACTCTCCCTAACCCCCTGGTACATACTGGAAGCGCAAATGGGGACACTCAGCACTCAAAGGCCTATTTACCGTACTGTAGTCGCCCTACTCCGCTGTATGCATCGTACGTGAGAACCCTTGGTCTATCATGGTTCGCTGAGGTGGTCCGCTGTGTGATGCCTCTCCTGGGCCTCTGACTTGCTGACTACACATCTCCCAACCCGCGTGACCCCCAGGTCGCAAAACTGTACGTAGCCCGGTACTGGAAAAAATTGCTGGCTTGGCTTCAGTATGAAAGTGTCCCCACGTTTATACTGAAGCCAAGTCACCTTTTGTCTGGCAAGGAGCTCAGATCCTTTGGAAGGACTGTAGCCCCTCGACCAATGGCTGACAAACTTTTTTCGGCATTTTTTATTGTGGGGGAACGGGTGCTATTTTAGGAGGGTTATACTAAATCAAGCCCGAATATCTCGTTCGTTGGGAGCACCGACGCGACACACACCATTGACCTATGCTTGTCATCCCACCAACAACCCAAGTGACCCTCAAGAGACGCACATGCGTAACACATCTCCCAAACGTTCCACAAATCACAACAGGAAGCAATGAATAGTGTAGAACGTTTTTATGCGGAAGAGACGACCACCACAACGCCCAGGAAGCGTTCATCGGGATAGAAACAGCAGTACATCCACCAAAAGACCCAACCCACCAAAAATTGTAGACCCTACAAACTTAGGGTTACCACATCATGGTTGTACGAAACCACCACCAAGAAAACGAATCAGACGTGCTTGAGGGTGCTCGCGAGAGTGGACATGGCCTGCGTCTTGCCGTCGGGGATCATGAAGAGCACCAGAGGCTTGCCCTCTCCCCGGTACGGCTTGTCCGCGCGGAAGAAGCCTCGCCTCTCGAGCTGCACCACGTCCCCCTCACGCATGTTGCGGAGACCGGGGTCTCCCAGCCCCGCCGTCTCCGCGCGAGTCTGCCGTTTCATTTCGAGTTCGGCCGATCGGAGTCAAGTATTAGCAATCAATGATTTTCAGGACGGGGGGTTGGTTTTGAGAAAGTACCCCACAGGGTCGTGCGTGTGAAGATGACAACATTGGGGACCGGTTTGGTCGGCTAGTTAACCATCCCGTCGACTGAACACATGTGCTAGTTAGATGGCAAACAAGCTGTGCTTTGGTTGAACCCGTTCATGGCTGGATTTAAGAAACGGTTATCCTAGAATATGCGAACGCAGGAGGACTGTGAGCGACACATGCCGATTACTAGACTCGGGTGGATCTGTGACATTCTCAATCCCAGGTGTAAGCAATGCCAGAGTTGAATGAAAACACACGAAGGTCGTGGATTTGCTGTTTTGGAACTCTTGCCAAACTCGGCTGGGTTGTCCACAAAACTGCCGTGAAAGACCGATGACGTCATGATGCGCGACTGCGACCAAGCGCCATTTTTGTACGTTTGGGTATGATAACTTCGATTGGTTTTTGTTGGCCCTGTTGTCGATGATGTTGTTGCCTTTACATTAAAAATAAATTCCGGTCTCCGCTCAGTACCTCCTCATGTCCATACGGGTCCAACTGACACGGACGCCCTCCGTGGCTACAAGACAACTACGCGCGAAGAGGCGGCACCTTCCTAGAAATCAAAAATGCATGTGGTATATCCTTAGGAGTGAGCAACTACTGGAAAAAAAACGTGATGCATGAGCACCGAACTCTTTCGTCACCATCTCATATGAATTACAACAAGACAAGTAACTCACCACTGGGTTGAGGAAGTCCTTGAAGTTCTCCCCGTCTTCGATCTTGTCCTTGGTCACCAAGTAGTCGAATTCCACCAGCACCATTGGGACCAAGTCCGGTACCTGGGGGCCCGAATAAAAAGAAACGCCGGCGGGCAACGGTGAAGTCAAAGAAACGACCAAGAAGCAACATTCACGCCGGGTAAAGCTAGATTCAGTCACGTCTGGCGTCTTATCTCCACTTTTCATACGCAGGCCGTGATACTACTGTTGTATCGATGCCACCAGCGCATCTATAGCCCATGCAACTTGCATACCCCGGACATTGAAACCAAGCAGTAAGACGATCTTGTCGACTCCAGGTTCCGTTGGCACCCCTTAAAATAGCAACAACGCCTGATTTGATCATTGTCTCACCACACACCACAATCAAGTCGATTTAGGAAACAAGAAGCAGGCGAGGTATGTAGTCAGTCACCTTCGCCAGCCAGGTGAGCTTCTTGGTGGACTTGAAGTCTCCGTTCGGGATGAACTCGCCCGACAGCTTCACTGCCTTACCTGGGTTTACATGCATACAGGAGGTTTGTAGGCCCAGTCACATATATATCATTGGTTTGGCAGCGAGCGGAGCAGGATGTGTTCCATCTAGTGTGAGACACTCACTCGTCGCGTCAGCATCACAAAAACAAAAGTCAGGACAGAGAGAGATCAAGCCCTTAAGCGAATTACCAAACGAAGCTAGGCGGTATCACCCATCATTGAGCAATCCCGGAAGAACAGCCAGCCGAAGCGCAGATTTTTTCCCACAACAGCAGGCAGCTAGCAGAGCAACACGAACAGCAAAATCTCGAACGGCACGCTGAAACCCGGAGCCGTCTTGACCCTCACCAGTGGCGTCCTTGTCGACCTTCTTGATCTTCACGTTGCCCCAGTTCTTGAGGGTGACCTCCTCTCCCTCAGCCAGAGCGTCGGCATCTCCACCTTCCAGCAGGGCCACGGACGAAAGTCTCATCGCACGCTGGCCGATCTCCGGGTGCTGCGAGACAATCAAGTCAGTCAGGTAGGACAGGCAACAGACAAACGGAGAGATGGATGGGTTGGGCAGCCTCGTGCATGACTGTCCGCGGATGTTGCCGACGCGTGCGAAGCCGTAAAATGCTGTCGAGACGGCCATCAAACGGTCTAACTCGACCCAGCGGAGTAGGTTCACTAAAATCTTGTGTAAATAGTACAGCTACAACTCTTCACATACAAATCTGAGGAAAGCGCGTGGCCAGGATTGGAGCTTGCATGCAAAGCCATCGCCAACAACAACACCCGCCAAGATAACCAGCCGACCCCACACTCGTTCAAACGCCCCCACTTCTGACAAAACCTTGGGGTGGAGGGCAACCGGGATGGAAACCACGTCCCCCGCAGGAGCGTTCTCGATGTCCAGCTCCACGCACGTGTCCTTAAACACACCCATGTAGCGGTGCGCCGTCTGCTCGTACTTCTTCTTGTTGGTCGACCAGAACTTGTCCCACTCCATGTTGGTCACCTTCTTGGAGGCACCCTGTTCATATGTCATTTTTCGACCGCCAAGGAAACGGATGCAAAACGTGGGCGGAACACGAACGATCTTAGATGAGCATTTGAAAGGCACCTGGACTCTTGAGATCCGACTTGTTACCGCATCGACGGACAGCTGGGTGATGCAACACCTTGCCAACACGACACAATACCCGCACCTAACCCTTGCCACAAAGCATGGCGAGTGGCGCCGCAACAACATGCCTGCATTAGCATGAACTCCCGCAGAGCAGCCGGGCTGACACCTCTGCGGATGACTCCTTGCACGGTGGGGAAACGCGGGTCATCCCAGCCCTCTACCCTGCCCTCCTCGACGAACCAGCCGAGGTGCCGCTTGCTCAGGACCGTGCGCATGAAGTTCATCCTCGCGTAGGAGTGCACCACCACCTTGCGGAGGCCTAGCTTCTCCTGGAGGGACGTCGTGTTCCGCACGGAGGATAAATCAAGGTAAAAATACTCCTAGTTGCTGGACGTGTGGAAGACGGGAGATGCACCAAGAAACATCCTGCTGGCGTGCATTCGAATTCAAGCACACCAACCATCTCAGACCTACCACAAGAGCATTCAAACTTGCGCCCGGGCCTTCGAAACGTCGCCGCCGAAAGGAGGCCGTAATGAAAACAAACAACCTAACCGCACCAAGATACAAAAAGCAGATCAACGCAGAATTCAACTGCTGTGGTATCCTACCTGGAACCAGGCGTACTGTTCGTCACGGTCTTGGTACTCCGTGGTGCGGCAGGCATGCGTGACACCCTCGATGGAGTCGATGATAGGGCAGGCGAAGTCGTACGTGGGGTAGGCCTTGTACTTGGTGCCCGTCCGGTGGTGGGGGGTGGAGTTCATTCGGTACATGACGGGGTCTCGCATGGTGCCTGTCAGCGAGAAAAACGGAACCATCCGAGAACGGCGTATGAAATCGCGTGAAGGGAAGAAAGACGCGAGGACAGTGCTGTTAGCATTACACTTTGTTAGGAGTGGCGCGGAAACATGAGGTTCAATTTTCGAGCTCTCTTCTTGAACACCCGCTACCCCCTTTGACTCCGTTCCTCTTCGTGA